GTGGTTAGTGCCCTGTCCAGACAGCTCCATGTAGATTTTTTGGGCATTCTACTTTCAGCTATTTCCCTATGTGAAGAAATCTGCATTCGGGAGATGAAATTGATTTTCTCCAGTTTTTTGCTGTTCCTCTCTATGGCTTCTCATTTCTTTTAGTTTAGAATTTTCTATATTTCTGTTTAGAATTTTCTATAGGCTGCTCTTTCTGCAGCCTAATACGTAAAGTATGTTGCAGGTCAAGGAAACGAGATTTTCAAAGAAATCTTTGATGAAAGCTTTCTGAGGAGCTGTCCATGTATGCAGGAGAAAAAGTGACCTGTACCCTCAGTGCTGCAGAAGCAATCAGCCTCCTGCTTAAATTCCTCCTGGTCTGTATAGTCTGGAGTGCTGTGGCAAGCTTCACTGCTGTGTAGACAGAGGGGGGCGATGAGACAGTGCTCTCCTACACAGGTTTGTGTCCTCTCACTGCTGAGCATCACTACTGTCTTCTCCAAGCATGTTGCCAATCTGTTCTTAAAGAGTGTGGGTTGGCTGAGAGTTTTTTCAAGATCTACTGGCCAACTTGAATTATCAACAGTTTTGAGTAGACCAGAACTGGGGGTGCAAAGGGTAGTCTTAACACTTTCAGATCTGTAAGTGAAGGGCTTACTAAAATGTCAGCAAAAATACTTAGTTTTATTATTATTATTTATTATTATTCAAGTTTTATCTTGAATTGAGACTGTATCTTTTCCTCCAAAAGACAGAACTAAATCAGGGAGTCAGAGAGCTTGTGTTCCTCTACTGTCAGCAGTAACTTGAAACCTGCTGGCAAAGTGTGTATTTTATCTGCTACTGGGGCATATGAAGACAACTGCCTACTACCACTATTGCTAATGGCTCAAGTGATGGGTGTTTGTGTTACGAGTGTTTTAAAGTCTGAAATCTACAGTCAAAATTTCCAGGCAATGGTATACCATTCCTCTTCTGCCTTGAATCATGGGAAGATCAGAGTGTGGCCTTGAATTTCAAAATAAACTAATATGTAGTGCCAAAGGTAGAATTGACATGTCCTGCTTTCTTTAAATGGAAATTTTGACTTTTGTTAGACAATATAATAAAGATATGAAAGTATGTATCTATTCATCTTAATCCACATTGTCTGTGCTTAAGCATTCATTTTAAGTACATTTGTATTTGTAAGTTTGGAGCCTTCCTGTCATTTCATGGTATTCCAGGCCATTTTGTGTTTAAGATTGTCTGCAGTGGAAGTGAATATTTATTTAGATTGGTGTGTACTGGCTGCAGGACAGCTGTAATGCCCTAAATAACAAATACTGATGTGGTAACTTTTGCACAGAAAGAGGTAGTTGTGAAAAATCTTTAGAAATTCTGCTAACTTGTGGATGTATACAGGAAACTAAAGTAAATGTGAACTCAGTTGTTAGGAAATGCAAGTTCTGGGTAAATTTTGGATGACTGTTACTATAGTATGTATTAAATCAGTGCTGACTGGACTCTGCTGTTGCGACTTCTCTTTAAACACTGTGGGTTCAAGATACATGACTTAGTCCTGACTGATTATAGTTTAAATCAGCATGAAGGCACCTGAGCATGACTGGTCTGATCAGAAGTGAGAAATTGAAACCTTGCTAGTCACTTTATGTAGTTTTGTTCTTTAATATTTAGAGAGACTTTTCAGGATAATATCCCTGTTTCCATTTAATAAGAGATCATAAAGTCGTATGAGCTGGAATTCATAACTGCAAACTGCATATTCGGCCAGCTAATTTTAACATGATGCACATGGGCCTTTGAAAATGAAATTATGGCCTTGAACTGGGCTTTCTGTGAGTAAAAATGCAATATTGCAAAATGTTTAATCTCTCAGTGGTGAGGGAAATGCCTTGTGAAGAAATGCTTACTAAACTGAACATATTTAGCCTAGATAACAAGGAGACTACACTATGCACTTCAATGGTATTTTGTGGCAGTAGCTAAAAGCATATGCAGACAGCTTGGAATGCATTCCTTAGATATGAATTAGAAATGAGATTAGAATTACTTTTGATTAGATAATAGAAAGGCGCTCATCCAGTACTTGCAAAGTGTTTGATTTTTGTGTTAAGCTAGGTTGTTGGTGTACAGAGTGCAACGTTTGAGTGCTTTGGAGAGTTGTCTGGCTTTGTAGCTGGAGTCTGGCTGGAGGGTATTCAGCAGTCAGCTCATGGTCTGCTGGAAAAGAGTCAGTGCCTTCAATCTCTTTACCATGGATCTCCACTGTCACCCTCACATTTGGAACAAAAGCAGCAGCAGGGCTTGCAGAGTGAATAACAAACAATGCCTTTTGAATATTTCAAAAGCCTGATGTAATTATTACATTTTAATTATTTTGATACTGTAGTGCTGCTAAACCAGTGGTTGGTGGGATTTGTGAGAAGGAGTTGTGGGATGGTGTTGAGGAGAGAAAAGTCTTCTCTAATTTTTTGTTTCTTAGTAAGATCAGGTCAGCTGGTATGTTCTGATTAGCCTAAGGTGGAGTCTGTTGTAAAGAAAGGTGCTGGGATTCCTGCCTTTGTGAGCTGTAAAACTTTACATCCCAATACAGTCATCCAGAGTTTATTATCATGTGCACCCAAGCTCTGCCCTTCATCTGCTTCCTGCTAGGGACAGTCAGAAATGCTCTTGGCACTTCAGGGGAGGGGAAGCAGAGGAGCCTTGCACAGCAGGTTATTCTGTGTGTACTGTAGCACAATGAGAGTTTTTAAAAGGCTAATAAAATAGCTTGTAATGTAAGTTTTCTTTTAAATCTTGTTTAAGAGATGAGGAGGTAAGTGGCTGGGAGCAACATAGGAGATTTACTCTTAGCTCTCAGCACTCCATGGATTGAACTTCAGACAGAAAATGGATTGTAGTATCTGTCAATGAGGAGAAATAGGGTATGGACAACAACTGACCTGTACAGATCTATCTGTATGCCCAAGGGCAGGGTATGATTGTGTACTAGTGGCACGTTCAGCAATTTCCCAGGATGTGTGTAATGTGTGAAGGAACAGCATCAGGGAAACAGCAGTGGACAGCATTGAGATTTAAAGCAGGCTGGTGGATGGGTGGAATGGTCAGTACAGGAAGAATGTAGAGTAGGATTTATTTGGAGATAGTGTCCCTCTTGCTGAGATATGTTCTGCCTCTTTGAGCTTTATTTTAATACATCTCTCAAGTTGAATGCAACATTATTACTCTTCACCTGAAGTTATTTTTATACTGTTAGGAAAGACAGCATTTGTACAGCTCTCTTGGCATTTAACAATGCACTTCTTTTCCCCTAAAAAAGATACTTTAAATATTTAGGCCACTGTAGTTTCTTTGAATATGATTCATTTTGGCCATGGGAGGAGAATGACAGTTTTTTGCTTCACAAACCTTTCCTGTGATTCATGGAGTGTCCTTTGTATCAGCCTTGAAGGAGGCATTTCATATGCTTCCTAGCAGGAAGGAAAAATAGTGTGATCATAGTTACCAGATAGGACATGGAAACTGGGTGGGAGGGAAGGGAAAGGGGAGAGGGAAATGCTGATTATTCAGAAGAAAGTTGCAGGAATGCCAATATTCTGTCTGCAGTATCCATTCATCTACTTAATGAAAAACGGATACATACCAGGCCTATATGTAATTAAGGGAAATGTCACGACTGTAATTGTCACATTCACAAAATAGCATAGGTTATTATGTAACTTCTTTTGTGTAAATATATCTTAGCACTTTTCCTTTGTTTCCTTGATCCATTACTGTTTCAATATGGTGTGCTGTGTCTGTCTCTGAGCGATACGTTTCGGATTTTGCTCCCAAACTGATGGCCACATACAATTGTGTCAACTTTCTGCAGAGATAGGTTTTTATGTTCTAACATAATAATACAGCTAGCAACTTAAGCAATGTGCCAGCTTGCCAGATCAGAAGACATTTTCCTTTCTTCACCAAAAAAAGTAATTTGAAAAGCTGTATAACAATTTTCTTCCTAAAAGTAGCAGCACAGATTGGCTACTTAAGTACTCTTTAAGAGTACTCCATCAAATAACAACCCCCTAATGCTGCATGGCAGACTTTGGGGCTCTTTCACAGAGTCTAGCTGCTTCCAGCTGCTTTCTCTATGCCTGGAAACTGCAGGATAGGAATAAATGGGAGTAGCAGAAGTGGAAACATAGGTTTCCTCACTTCCTGATTTCCTGCATGGATTCAGGGCTTGTGGCTGGCTGTCCTTCTGCAGTTGGCAGCATCTGGTGTGGTACATGCAGCTGTGTCAGGAATGTACAGTTGTGGCTGTTCATAAGAACAGAGGGTTCTTACCTAAGCAGATGCACAGCAACGTTAGAACGGGAAAGCAGAGGTGTAGTTAGAGATGAAAGGAGTGGAATTAGGAGGAATGCAGAAGAGAATAAAAGTAGATATGAATTACTAATCACATGACCTGTGTTAATTGATTTTCCCTGGCAATTAGAATTTTACTGCTTGAATCACCAATGCTATCCATTCTTCCATTATTTCCTGTGTTATAAAAAGATAGCTTTGTTTTGATTTTCCTGTAGCTGTATTTACTGGGGATAAGAGCTCTAATTATATCTGTGTACTATACTGTAATGAGAGGGCATTTAGGTTTATTCTGCCTATTTCTGAGGCAATGTGATGAGTCATGAAATATAACTTTTGTAGAATATATCCTGATTGCCTAATGACTAGGTGTTGGTAGATGAAATTACACATACTCTCTCTTGTTCACATGAAACCAGGGAAGTGTCTTTCTGAGTAAGCTGTTTGTTCAAGTTACCCAAGAAATGTCAAAGATTACAGTTGCAAAATGAGAAAAAAAAGTATATGTTTGAGTAGCTTGAAAACACCTGCTGAGACTTACAAATGTGTTAGATATTCATGGCATGAATACTTGTAAATAAAATATTTGTGAAGAAAAAATGCTGCCTGAAAATAATGGAATTGATCACCCATGTTCCACATATTTTATTTTGCAGATGATGAAGAAGAAGTTAACAATATGGAAAAAGTCATGTTAGAATATGCTACAATGGACAGAAAACTTAGTCATTATATAAAAGCATTTGAAGAAACCATAAATCAGGTAAAATATCTCTTATTAAGCTATGAAAACATACCCTTATTTAAATATTATCTTTTAAAGGACACAAATGTTATATTTAAACAATATAACAATGTTATATTCTTTGGAAAGACAGCTCTTTGGCAGGTATAAAATACTGAAGTTGCCAGTGCAACTCTTTTTTTCCCAGCTTCTGACAGGGTGGCAGAGTTTTTAACTTCTCCCCACCAAACCCGCACCGTTAGGAATATGGGTAATGCTCTGGGAAGGGTTGAGGACACTGTAGTTAAGACACCCTGCTCTCAGGCGATGGGAAGATGGAAGTGAGGCAGTTGATTTCAGGAACAAACTGGAGGCTGTGGCTGCAGAGAGTCGATGTTTAAAGCCTTCTTCCCACTGCCCTCCTGCCGCCTGACTCGGCTGGTAAAGGATGAGCTGGCGGATTGCCCCTCCATGAACCGGGGCCTCGCTCTGCCCAGGACCCAGGACGGACCCAGGACGGAATCAGGACGGACCCAGGACGGACCCAGGACGGAATCAGGACGGACCCAGGACGGACCCAGGACAGACCCAGGACATACCCAGGACGGAATCAGGATGGACCCAGGACGGAATCAGGACGGACCCAGGACGGAATCAGGACGGACCCAGGAGTGACCCAGGATGGAATCAGGACGGAATCAGGACGGACCCAGGACGGACCCAGGACGGAATCAGGACGGACCCAGGACGGAATCAGGACGGACCCAGGACGGACCCAGGAGGGAATCAGGACGGACCCAGGATGGACCCAGGACGGACCCAGGACGGAATCAGGACGGACCCAGGACGGACCCAGGACGGAATCAGGATGGACCCAGGACGGACCCAGGACGGACCCAGGACGGACCCAGGACGGAATCAGGACGGACCCAGGACGGAATCAGGACGGACAAACTCCGGTGGCGGCGCTGCCAGTGGTCGCCAGGGGGCGCCGCGCCCGCGCGTTCCCGGTTCGGGCTCGGCGCGTTCCCGGCCCGGGCTCGGCCAGGATTAAATATACATGTTTAAAAGGAGTTCAAAACTATGTCTGCATCAGCAAGTGTGCGACATCAGTAAATACAGGCACTGTTCCCCATGTAGTCTTGGAATATACATTTCACTTCAGATATCGCCATAATTGCAGACTTCCTAGTTTATATTGGATGGTTCAGAACTTTTTGCTTTCATTTGGACTATTCATGATTTTTAAAAGCTTTCCTAGTAAATTGTAACACAGTCGTCATTGTTAGAGACTAATGATGTATATATATCCAGACTTGAGTGAAACACAGTTGGTTTATATTCTGATTATAAGCCAATTAATAATTGATGTGTTATTGTTCTAATAAGAATTTCAAGTAATTTTAAACAATGGCTTTTTATTTTCTTTCATTATTTCCATTTATCAGCATTTCTTTCAAGTTTAGGACTATAAAGAGCAAATCTGTGCCTTCACCAACAAAGCACTCAAGTCCTGTTTACTTCAGATGTATTTTAAGTTGATATTTAAGATGATATTTTAAGTTGAACACAGGTGCAACTGCTTCACTGAATATACTTTTTTGGTTTTGGCAGAGCAGTGATACATTTGTGATTTTTAGGATTGAATTCAGCAGTATCTGTTGTGTGCGTATCTGTGCTGATGTGCAAAAAAATACACCTGGAAGGGTTAGTTTTCCTTTTCCCCTCTTTTGTCTAATGCAGCTTCTTTGTGTTGCTAAAACAAGCTCATTTCCTGTTATTTCAGTCCTAAGGTCTCAAAAATGCAGCTCCAAGGTATTTAACATGTTTTAGAGTCTACATGGATTATAAATTTGGTAATGGCTAATCTGTTAGCCTCTAGCCACACTTCTCCTGTCTCTGCTTCCTACTTCACTCTAGGGAATTGTTTGTCCTTTCCCCTGCCAGCATCCAGAACAAACCTTTGTGAGTGTAAGAAAGAAATGTAAATGACTTCTGCTGTAGAACAGTTACAAGCTGTCCTCTGAAAAATAACAGCTCATGCTTTATTTTGGAGACTAGCTGCATGCCGTGCCTGTGGAGCTGCACTGCCCGTCTCCAGTTACCTGTCAGAGACAGCTTAAAATCTGCTTCTGGGAAACAGATACTGTTGCTGAATTTAGGGCTGCACCTGGAAGTAGCTGTAGAATAGCTTGGGTTTTAAATAGCCTCCACTGACTTGCTCCCTGGTTCCATCTGAATTCCTTACCTGAGGGCTTTCTCTGGGCAGTTGCAGCAGGTCATTAATTTTCACAGGCAGACTGTTCTTCATGGACAGGATTTGTCTCCAGCTGTAAAACACATTTTTTCTGATCATTTTATAAGCTTGTATGTTGATGATTTTTCTGTCTGTAGTTTCCTCATACAGCAGCGAATCTGAAAGTATATTACAGTCTGTGTTTCACCATCTAACCAGCTGCTTCTAGTGAAATGTCCAGCTGGAATTTAGCAAGATAAGAGACAGCAGCAGTTAAAATTCCTGATACATTATTTTATTATGTGTATCTTTAAATGGCATTGACAAAAGGGTGATACTGTGCAACTAAAGGATTGTAATGTGAATAATTTGAAACTAGCATGAGATACAGTCACATGTTTTCTCAAAGCTAGTTTTTTTGTTGATTTAGGCTGCAGTAGGTGGAATGCAGAAGGTGAGACATACCAGCATCCTCTTCTGGTTGAATCAGCAGCCTGTTGAGCAAGAAGTGAGCAATTGAATCACAGTGTTTCCAACAATAGGCTGTGGGAAATCCTTTGTCTGTGGGAACTCCCTGTGCCACTGGATTGTCTTGTACCTGTATAATGACTGGACTTCTGTTGCTGCTTCTTCTTTCATTTTTAATGGGTATTTTTAGAAGAAATGAGCCAATATTTGGATCCTTACCATGCGAAGGCCAGACAGCACTCTTATTTTTAGTGTAACAATGAAAGACTGATGGAGCTGCAGTATCTCTGGCAGAATTTTTTATACTCTTGAAATGGACCCAAATGATTGGAACCCAGGCTCAAGTGTTCCCTACTCTGTCAGAGTTCTCAAGTGGCCAGAATGCCAGCATATTGTGTTATCCTAAATATGGATTCTTTCACCCAGTGTGCAGGAAGACAATTCACACACAGAGTCAAGATACTTGATTTTATTTCATGTCTGTGCAGAGAATGTGTTCTAGGTGGTGAATCCATAGAACTAACACTTCTTCAATATGCTAGGTGCTCATTTTTATACACTGTGAACAATAAAAAATTGGCATTTCACGTATATGTAACAATCTAACTTTAGTCATTAGCTTTGCATTCTCTTGTCAGCATGTAAAGACCCAGTGCACGTTTGTTTCACTGTGCATGCTCTCTGAGGAAGTGGCTTATGTCAGCGGGGCATGGTTGTACCCTACAGACAGGTGTATTTACTTGATGAGCACAATGTTCAAGCAAAGTTGTACTTGGCATTGTAGTTTGATTTATTGTGTCTTCCTGTTCTTGCTTCTTGGGTTATGGCAGTTGTGCCTGCTCCCTTACTTCTACTCTGGTCTCTGACTTAGCAGGTATGGTGGTGGTGGACTGACCACACTCTCAGCTTTTCAAGCATTTGGTTTCTTTGGGACTGTAAAAGCTGGGGTAAATATTCTGAAGTCCCCAGACTTCTCTAGATAAAATGAATTACAGTGTATTGTAGAATGAGGAAGGTGAAACTAACTTCTAAAGTCACATTATTCCCACTTCTGTTTTCTTCTACTTTAGGGAAAGAGAACCTGGGCTATTTTGTTTCTTTTTCAGGTGACCAGAAATTGTTGAACGTGGTAATAGCATCTCTGGCAAGGATTGCTTAGTGCTTCCTTTTGCAAGTTACTGCTTTGCTAAACATAACTTTGCCTTTTGCTAATCCCGAGCTCTGTGACAGAATGAAATCCAAACCTTAGCGAGGTGGAAGAAACACAGAGGAGACATATTTAAGCAAAAGACTAAGAGAAGGAAGCACTCAGAATGAGAAGAGGCAAAAGTAAAGGACATGGGCTTGGAAAGTCTTGAGATCATATAGATGTATGGGGAAGAGTCTGGTTGAAAGAGTGCTAGGAAGGAGGTCATGCTGAGCTGAAGAAAAGATGGAAATATTAGATGTTGCATTGGTGCTGGAGTTTTATCCCTACTTCTGCTAGAGCTTTCCCACATTGTTCTTGGTGAATCATATCTATCACTGTCAGTGGCTGCTGACATCTTTGTTTTCTGATTATCCTGCATGGAGACTGATTTGAGCAATTATAATTTTAATTTAATTCAAAGTTAATTATAGTTTGAACCCAGGAAGTGAAATTAAAATGTTCTTTGTTGGGTTTTATCTGCAAAACTACTACATACGCCTGATGTAAGTGTATGTCTTGAGAGGATTTGAAGTCTGGATGTGCTGGTCATTTATGCCTTTGTGACTTCACACCTTGTCAAGTGTTCATTCTTCCTTTGCAAAGGTGAGGGGTGCACCATGTTCCTTGTACAAGAGTGATTTTGTATCTACAGGATATATAGGAACTACTCTTAAAATTGTTTTGTATTTTTGATAGTGATTCTTCCCTTTAGACTAGTAAGGTCCTTGGAGTGTGAATAAGAGGAGATGTTTGTTCAATGGGTCAGTAATTTAGAGCAGATTACTTAGGATTGGGGTCTGTTATCTTAGTAGCAAACTGTGTAGGTTGTAATCCTGCAGGGGGATAATTCCCTTCAGTGATGTAGGTTGTATTCTGAGTGTGCAGTTTGTGAGTGATCTAAAAGCCTTTGCAGAAAAGTAAAGAATCCTGTTTTAAAACTACTGTACAGTTAAATTTGTGGTCTCTGATTTGCAACCTGTGTAGCAAAATTCTAGTGTCCTCACTTAAAACTCATAGTATAATGCTGTAGTAACTTGGATGGTCTTCCTTGGTTTCATAAAAATGAAAGGAACTTTACATCTTTGTTAACCAGCCTCTGCCAGCATAGCTTTGTAGGCCAGAAGTCCTATTGAGAAGGTTCTGCCA